CCTTGTGAAGACCTGTATTATATTAAAAGTGACTCACCTACCATTACCCAGATTCGCGGAAGTTTACAGGTATTACCAAAGTGAGACCTGTTAGCTAACATGAACTAGCTAGAGGAACCAGCGAAAGTGCAAAATGCCCCTTCCTAGCCAAATTCATTCAAACAGGTCCCAAGGGTTTTCCTTATCAGTTACTTCTTACTCGTTAACAAGACTAATTTCGGAAGTTTGGATGAGAACCATGATTTGGCTGAACCTTCGCCTGTGGGTGAGGAAGGTCTATCCCTCCATGGAATGAACGGTGCCCGAACGCGTGACCCGTGCTCGACGGAACGAACGTTTACCGGGAGCATACTGCCAGATCAAACATTCCCTTGCAGACCAATAAAAGGATGAAGGATAAAGCTCCCGCCCCTTTCTTTCCTTTTCAATCAATCCCTTTTCGGGATGAGCCACGCACTCTACCCCCATTCAGAACGTAATGGAATATTCAATGCGATGTGGCCTGTACAATGACATGCAGGGAACATGTAGAAGTTAGCGTTCTTATCCTTCTAGGCGAATCTGGTACCAATTTCACAGTGCCTATCGAAGGTAAAAGGCTTGGTTGGCCCGGGTGGGAGCAGATCCGAGACCTGATGACCGGACCGTGCGCGGTGGTAAGCGTGCCGATTGCCACTGCACCACCTCCACCTCTAGAAAAAAAACCAACCAATATCTATCAAAAACCTGGTACCAATTTCAAAAAAGGTGCTACAAAGGCTAGGTATTTCCAAAAATGTAATTTATAGGCCCATAAATATCTCACCGATTTCACAATGTCTGGTTGATTCTCGTTGAATAACAAAAACATGAACACCTGCCATTCTGTACACTCGTTGAGGCAATTTACCTGAAATGCCATTGGTTGGCTCTCAATTAGCTCCGCCCTCAGGTAAATTACGGTAGCCTACCTCAGCAGCAGTTTGATGATCTTTCAGTAGGAAATGACTCAGATGAAGTTGATGTTTAACGTGGCCTGACGTCTGGTTATTTACAGAATATGGTACTAAGGAAATTTTGTTACCAGCAGCAACCTGCAATCAACAAATCGACGTAAAAAATTCAAAACAAACCCGCATTCAGGTACTGTGAGTAGTAGCGGTCAAATAGGGAAGCTAAGATCCAAGAAAGTGAACGTGGGAGGACGAACACGAAAAAGTTGCCACCAATGGTTCAGACAGAATTCGAACCGTTCGGCGACGGGGAGGGGGGGGCACTTTGCACTCCGCACTCCGAACCATCTAGAGAACTCTTTCATGAGCGAGACAAGAATTGACGGGTTTTATCATGGTGGCTAGACGAGCTTGCTCCAGCTTCACAAGAGTTCACAGGTTTCACCAGAGCGGAACTTGTGAACGGAACTAGTAAGAGCAGTGAAGGTACAAAATGCCCCTCCCGTCGCCGAACAGCGTCCAGAATTCCCTAACAAGCGCGTTCGCTCGAGCAGAGGCGAGCAAGGGTGTTATCGGACGAGATCACCTGGGTAGAGTGGTTGGGCGTGGCCAATGAAAGTGGGTCGGGCCAATGAGGTGAACAATGGTAGGGTGCCCTAGTCATTCGTGGCTCTGATATGGGCAATACTTCCATGAAGTCACTTACGCTGTCTCCAATAACATAGTGTTTATAGGCTGGTTCGATAATAAACCAACTGCCTTCATTTCCCGCTCGATCAAGATATACCTGAAAAATCGATACTGAATAAAATTGCCCTTGAAGTGAAGATTGGGAATAATCACGAGTAGTAATAATAATTATAGTGGAAGAAGTCCGAGATAATAAGTGGAGTGGAGCCACTCACTTTCATGGCGTTACGCTCGCATTTTGCTGGCGAGTTCTTCTGTACAGTCACATACTTATCGGATTTCACGTGTAATAATTGTACGGTAGTACCGTACTGAATGACGTTTCCTTGAGTTTTTCGGAACTCCAGCTCATTCTGTTCTTTCTCCTGGAATGGAAACCCTTCAGGTTAGTACCAAAACTCTTTGCATAGCTTCACTCCAAGTTGCACTATTACTCATTGGATTTCATTCACCGCCTCCCGTAAAAACGCAATTGAAAACTTATGAAATTGATACGTAGTATCTGTGAGACAGGTGTTTCTGCGAAGGAGCAAGGGCTCGTATTGGTTTTGACTTTTCTGTTAATATGTATAGTAGCCTCGGGGCGTACTATGTGAATGCGCCTCACTCGCTACGTCCTTGCCCGTGATAATTCCGTACCAGTTGGGAATTCCTTCGGGGTTCGAGTGAAACAGTAGGAGAAATCGGGCTGTTAGGCGGGACAGGGCCGTACCAGAAGCCTGTCCTGGTAGCTGCTAGACATGGCTCCCCTTCGTGAAATCCATGTTGCGGCAACGCGGCTAAAGCAGCGTTGTAAGGGAGCACATGCTCCAGGCATTGGCAACAGAATCGATTCAACGTGAAACTAGCACAGCATGTCGAGTCAACTAGCCAGGGGAGCCTAAGGAAGTACCAGCCGACGCGAGCCGCCACAATACACGATTTGCACCCCAATGATGTCACAAAAATACTGTTGTGATTGATTGTGGCTATGTTTTTTATAAGCGGCAACAGTAGCCCTATGACTAATTCAAAGTGGAAGCAACAAGTTCCTAAGCCCAGATTGTGTGCGGCTCCAGGGCACCAAATGATACATAGCGAAGCGTATACAAGCCACCTTGCGAAGTCCTGTGACTCCATGTGACCCAGTTTGTCCCAAGACCAAACTTATCATTTCCCAGCTTCACAAGAGTTTGCTGCTCTTCTCAAAGTTAACTGGCATGATCCAGAGAGAGGGACTAGCGAAAGTGCAAATTCCCCCCTCCCGAGTTTCGAATTATGTGATATAGATCACCAGAATCATTCGAAGGGCACCATCAGTTCAGTGCCAAGCCCTTACGCAGCCATTCCTTTCTCCTGTTGAAGTCCTGCGACTAGAGTTCAGTTGCTTTCTAGTGAACATGGTACAACGTAATGTGTGAAATGGTGGTGTCAATACGACTCCCCCTCCCCAACCTACCTATTTCCCCCCACATTTTCACCTAAAAACTTTTCTTCGAGCGGGGCAAGGGGGTGGGGGTATGTAGTCACTGTGAAATAGCGAAAAGTCAACAACCGGGAAAATTTTTTTCTCAAATTTTCTCAAAGACACCTACGACCCTCCTCCTCCCAACGACGGCGAAATACGACTCCCCCATGTGTTTCACACAACGATCTGTACCCTGCTCGTGAACAATAACGGTCGTGTTACGATAAGAATTATACTTGAAATCCCTGAGATCGGGTAGGCGTGGCCGCATGTTTCAACTTAACCTGAAGGTATCTCACAATTGTTGTCGTGTCTCTGTCCAACACAGAACAAGATGACAGTTGTCCCAGACTGGAATATTCCACGAGTAACCAGTTCCGTGCCATGTTCAAATGCCACGCCTACTCTGGCTCAGGGATAAGGAGTGTACCTTTTCAGCGGCTATTCGTAATTTATTCATCATATCATCATCGAAGGTCGATTCACCGCTGATGAATCGCTTCTGTTCTGTCCAGTACTGCTTTTGGGCTGCATATCTGTTGACTGGACATACCTTGAAGAGGCAATCTGGAAAAGAGCGTCTAATACTTCTATGTAAAATGCTTTGAAAAAATCAAAGGTAGAGTCAGGGAGCTGCAGCACACTTTGTGATTTTACTATCGGCAAGTTCTTCTTAACAAACCTCGGCTTCACCTGGCTTACGGTCATTCTGCTGCGGATGATGGGGCGTGGCAGTGGAGCTGGGTTTGGCGCGCAAACAGCCTGTTCTCCACCATTTTTTGAAGCGGGTCAGCGACAGCAACTGGTGGAAAACGACTGACACGAACAACATGATACAGCCTTGTCGCCTGTGGAAAAAAAGAAAAG